AATTAAAGTCGATCTCCTCGACGAGGGCTACGCGACTATACCCAAAAGTGTAGATTTTACCGAAGATCAAGGAACATAATTTTTGGAATCAAGGGATTCTAGCTCGTTTTTGGTATTCTTAAAGGTTTTACTGTTAGTTTTACGCTTCAAGAGGTAAGGTTCCTTCCTACTTTGGTTTATTTTCTAACCCAGGGTGTTATATGAGATGGGTAGGTTGTTAGAGACTTGACACTTACCTATGTGAAATTGATGTAATAGGTGTTAAAATAGGAAGGAAAATAGTTATTGAAATGATTTGAAATAAATTTCCTAGCTTGGAATTTGATATTTATGTAGGCATGCTATGTGTTTATATTATACCTTTGTGATTGAAGTGTGTTATGGGTACGTATTATGTAATAACATGTTTCGGATATATTGTTTGATATTAAATGTTGATATACGTTTATTGATACATTAACATTGTGATAAAGTTTGGTGATTATATGCATATGATATAATTTGTCATAGAATTTTTAGAAATGTAGTTAAACTTGCTCATGTGGCATTCATTACATATGGACATGACATTAATATAGTAATGGTGCATTACATTGCATTTGCAAAGAGGAACCACATCCCTAGCCATGAGTGTGGGTGTGTGTGTGCATGGTTGACATTAAACACTACATAGGTGGATGATAGGTGGGCTCGAAAAAGTTAGATCAAAGATCCGACTGAAACACATGGTTGCATGAGAAAAGAATTGGGTCAGGGTTAGCAAGAAGGGCTAGACTATCTCTCAGGTGAGAGGCCAGGTGATCGGATACGCACTCCGGTGGTATAAGGGCCCATAAAGTGTGTCGATGTACGCGGAACCGTTGGTGAAAGTCCATAAATTCCGTGTCGGTTGGGTGCCGTTAGTGGAAGTCCATAAAAACTCACCCCAAGAAAGACCTAGAATTTTTTGTTTAAAATAGTCATTGGGTGTGTAATGCCAATAGCGGGGGCTTGAAAAGCCTGATTTTATACTCATAGCACTGCATGGGTGAAAGGAGTCAGGGAGGGCTAGGGTTGAGTTGCATGAGTGGGTGTCATCTCATATCATGACATTACTTATTAGATTCCAACATAGACTTGCTTGATCTTGATTGGAATGGTTGTTGTTTGTTAAATGTTGCATGAACTTTTCATATGCACTTAAGTTGGGGAATAGTCTCTATAGGAAATACTCTACTGGGCGTAGCTCACCCTATACAGGAAAATATTTCAGGTGCGAGATACACACTGGAGGAAGGCCCTCACATGGGACCTCAAGGATGAAGTAAGCCGGGATGTGGCTTTATTTTGAATTTTTGTAAATGATTTTGAAAACTTTGTTTTTGATATGTAAATTCATGGAATTAAATGTAACAGAGTTGGTATGGACCTTGTGTAATATGAAAATCTTCATATACATGTGTTGGAGGGAAATAATATGTCTTGAAATGAATTAGAAATGAAAAACAGGTGAAATAGGCAAATCTGGGCAAGACCTACCAGTAGATTGCTGTCCAGTGGGCAACACCTACCGATTGGATCGCGTATAAACAAAACTTTGTTTATCGGGCAAAACCTATCGATATGACTTTTCTAGTAGACAAAACCTACAGGTAGGGTCTCCAAAAATCTAAAAATTTAAGACTGTCTTGTCATGCTTTTGGACCATAGATTCTTTGGTTCTAAGGATATAAAATGGACATCAAATGAGGATAAATAGTGGTATATTGGATCTTAGTTGGTCAAATAATATAATGTACACGAGTTACACGTGTGGGTGATGATCCCGATTAAGGGGGTACTATTGACATGATGTCGGGTTATGCGACAATCACGAGTACTTCCGCAGGTTGACGGGTGGTCAACGGTTGAAAAAAGACCCCCGATTTTAGGGGCGTCACAAGACAGCAGATCAAGATGCAGAGTAAAGTGCAACAATGGTGCGAACAAAGGAAAAACATTTTAAATCAAGAAGATTGAAGAATATCGATTTAATAAGGGTAACCCGTGCCTGAAGGCATGGTGTAACGTAAACCAACCGTTTAATTTGAAGAAGTGATGAGTGAAGATCCCATCGAAAATTAATGGAACAAAAAATATGATCTAAGGTGAATACACTTTAAATACAAGTTTGACTGTCTTTAATAGATAAAAATAATGTTATATATTTATATTTTTTATATCGGATTTGATACTTAAAATTCCATTAATTAAACATAACATCGGTCTGTTTGAAAAAAAAATTAATAAGATAACATTTATACATCAAAGATCAGTTATATAATTTATTTCACACAAATAAAAGTAATATTCTATAATTTTTAATCTTCTTACAAATTTCATATTTTACTCATTTTTGACTATATATTCCATAATTTTTGAACTAAAGGAGGTTGCAATTAATCATATCAATACTCAAAGGAATCAATTTTATTTTACTAATTTTAAGAGATTTAGTATTGACTTTTTTTTTGTTTTTTTGTTCTAGTGCCCAACTTGTATGACCCAATTAATTTTGTTTGTCACAAATTATTGCAGTGGACCCAATTTAGAATATCCAAAAAAATATATAAAACATATATAACTAAAAAATATGTATATATTTTCTAGGGTGGCCACAGGCCCTTCTTACCCCTCCTCCCTCTGCCACTACCAGAAAGACAGATAAAGAGTGAAGAATGAAAAAAGCAAGGTAAAATTCAATTTGAATGATTTTGAGAGAGATATTAATGACTGTTTAATGAGTTTATTTAAGACCGTCGGATAAACTTATTAAAATCTATCATATTTTATATTATAGATAAATCTACGAAATATAATAGAATTGCCTTAAAAAAATATTAATTTATATATATGTAATCAAAATCGAGTTAAATCTAATACAAACTAAAAATCCAATTTATCAAAAAATACATCTCCAAAATATTTTCTATCAAAAAAAGATCTATAAATATCATTTATAAAATATTATTTTTTAATTAGTACAAGTTATTACAAAATTATTAATTTATAAGAACATATTAGTGTTGGATTTTCTTAAAAGATTAAAAAAAATTAGTCTTGAACTTTTGATTCAAGATATGGGTAAGACATGTTAGTTTGAGATAATTAATTAAATAAATAAAATTAAAATTAATTATATCTAATATAAATGTGTTGCCCTTGCTTTTTTATTTGTTAAATTGATGAGTTTTGTTTAATCAAAATGTTATCATTGTATTTGATAAAAATTCAAAATGTTACTGTACACATATGATATTAAGGGCAAATTTTACCTATTTAATTATTATGTCAAAAAAAATAATGTGTTCCAAGATTAGCCATAATCATTGACCGATTGGGGGAGAAAATATTAAGGAAAAAAATGATAATTTCTTAACCGTTGGATAAATGAATTTAAAACCGTAGAATGTGTTCTAAGATCAGCCGTAATTGTTGACCGGTTGGGAAAAATATTAAGGAAATAATTTTTTGACCATTTGATGAATGAATTTGAGACCGTAGGATGAACTTGTTGAAGCCGTCCTGTTTTATATTATAGATTCTCCAATACCATGCCAAACTACCATTGGATCCAAAACCTTACTTTGTTAGAGAATGTATCCAACATTGTATATCAAGTTGCAAATACCCCTAACATGCGACCGTCATTCACACATGGAGTAAATATAAAATAAAGTGCATCATATGTAGTTATGCACAAACAAAACTAGAATTGGGAGCTATTATAGCACCCAAATAGTGAGACTCGAAACAAGTGCCCAAAGAACCATAATCCGATAATTAATTAAATGGCAAACTTCACTTTACCCTTTGTGGTATACCCCAAATGCACTTTATATCTCTCCATTTTAGAAACCGCAAAGTTACATTTTCCGTCTAATTTAACCGACCAAGTTCCTCACACTCTAGAACTGAGAATTTTCCATAAAAATATTTTTTTAAATGACCAAACTGTCATCCCCAGAAGACCCCAAAAAAAAATTCATCACCTGGACCCAATCTTTCTCACCTAAAAACTTTCATCACCTTCTCTCTCTCTCTATCTCTCTCTCAGTGCCTTTGTCGATATCTCTGTCACCCCCTTTACTCCGGCGACCAACACACAGCACACTCTGTTTCCATTCAACTTTTGTTATCTCCAAATTTTGGATTGATTCCAATTTGGATTCGATTTTTATTCGACTTGGATAATTTTGGTTCGTTTCTAGTTTTTGTTTGCAATTTGGATTTAATTTGGTTTAATCTTGGACTTGTTTTGTGATTTAATCTTGGGATTGATTTTCAGATTGAATCTTGCGATTCGATTTTTATTCGATTGTTAAAGAGGAGTGATTTGATTGTTGAAGAGGAGTGATAGAGATTGATTGTTTGTGTGTCTGCATGTGTTATGTATGTGTTTGTGTGTGTGCTGTGTTTGTGTGTCTGCGTGTGTGCTCTATGTTTGTGTGGGTCGCCAAAGTGTGTGTGCATGTGTGTTGTGTGTGTGGGTTACCGAAGTGATGAGGTATGAGTTCCAGTGGTGAGCCCAGTATGGTGATGGTGGTAGTTCGCTGGAGTTAGGTTGGGATGTGTCCTCCACAGTTGTTTGCAAGAATTGGGTTGGGATGTGTCCTCCATAGTTGTTCGCCGGAGTTGGGTTCAATTATCACTTCTTGTTTTGATTTTGGGTTTCAAGCTGGAATGGTGTTGGGTGCTTGGGAAGAAGGAGATAAGGGTATATAAGTCATTTAGAAGAAGGAGATGAGAGTATATAGGTCATTTTAATTTTCTGTTAACAGAGTTAGCCTTGCATTTTAGTCCATTAACCATCTGAGGGTTACATGGAGGTTTTTAAAACGCAGGGAGGAAGAGTGCATTTGGCTTATACCACAAGCAAATCGAGCTTTAGTATCCTTGCACATGGATAAACACACATAAACACAAAGACCAATTTTGACATTCAGCAAGAAAAATTCTAACAGATAAGAAAGACACCAAAGCTAAATAGAACAATACAATAAAGTGCTTACATATGTATTGAGCTGTCTGACAAAACTGGAGAAATTATTGTGCTTGAAGTACTTGGGGAGCAAAGCTCTAGCAAACTCCGGCGGATTCCACACAATAAAGCTATGCCCAGTATGACTCCAAGAAACTATGGAGTTCGACAATGGATCTTCAACCATCTCATACGTCTTCGTGAGAAATGGGGCAGTTGCATTAGACCCACCATGAGGCCCATCCATCACAAAACTACTCTACCTACCAATTTAGTCGCCAAGAAATCTAATTCCCTAGAAATAGAGCCACCTCAACCAACAAACAAATCCAATTCCCCTAGACTCAACCAAGTAAATGCCTTCCTTTCTTTCTTTCCTAGATCACACCAAAACCAGGTCGTGTGCAATTACCAGAAGGCGAATAATATTTTGCATGTTTTTGGTTAGAAAAAAGAACCCAATATTGAAACCATACGAACAATGGAGCTGAAATTCAGAGTTCAAGTCCGAAGTGGCATCAATTTCTGAAACATTTCCCAAACTCCGATCAACCTGAAAACATTTCACACCGAATATGCAAGAACCCTAACTGTCCTCAACAAACAAGATGATCAAGAATTCTTAACAATAATCACTAAAAAGCAGAAAGCAATTTCCGAAACTTGATGAAAGGAAACACAGGCAATTATAAGCTTCAAAGTTCAAACCTTAATTGCCTTCCAATTCTGAAACAAAACCCTTGCAATTCTCAAACTTCACAAAGTAACTGAGACAAAAGTACAAAGACCTCCAAATTCAAAGAACAAGCAACACCGTTTAATCTTAAGATTATTCCAAAATAAAGAACACGGAATTGAGCTCGAAACGGAAAAGAGATGGTCTAATATTATCGAACAAATTCAAGTTTTCAAACCAAAAGGTCAATTCCAACGGGGAACACGCAAATAGACAAGGACGGGGGAAGACTTTGACGATGCGAGAGAGGACTTGACTTCGAAGTTTGATCAATTTGCAAAAGACGAACTTGGAATGTAAGGGAGAGGGGTCCCCATTTTCTTTCGGGTGAATCACATGTTGACCCCCAATATTTTGATCCTAATAATATTATCAACTCTGCCCTTACAATGGAAGAGTAGTGCTACATTGATTTAAAAAAAAAAGGGACTAAAAATATAAACTACATGATGTAGTATTGGTATAAATTAGAATTTCAAATGTCTAAAATTAAAACTAACAATATTATTACAAAAATGTCACATTATTTGGTCCATAGAATTATAAATATTGCCCGTCCACACCCTTCCCACCGAATCTCCTTCCCCCTCTCCTCAATCCAATCTCTCATTTCCCTTTCATTTTTGTTGATTTTCACTAATCTATATATATATACACACACATATTATTTATAAATATCAATATTTGTGAAAAACTTTTGAGTTCCTATGTCATCCCTAATTATTATAGTAAAATCAATTATATCAATCTATATAATTTCATCTTATTTTTATTTTTCACACATTTAATTTTTAACTTACTTTGTATTCTTTTATACAGACTTCTTAATTCTTTTGAATTCATTTATTAGTAGAATAGGTACATATAATTATCTATATCTATATGAAAAGGTAAAGTCTTATACGGTCAAATATATGTTATTTTTTATTTTTTGGTATGTAGTAATATGATAATATTATAAGTGATTTAATCAATTTATTTAACAAAATAAAAATTAATTATGTGTAAATATTTAAAGGGGTTGATGAAATTCTTAAACAAATGACAAATTAGGTACTAAAAACTTATAAAATAAATCAATAATTAAAATACAAATTAATTACTCAGCACCTAATTTATTATTTATTTAATTATATATACAATTCACATTTTATATAAAAATAACATTTATATGCAACGCATGTCGTGCATTACTAGTTTTAATAAAGGCAAAGATGATAATGTAACAAGAAAAATAGAGGTTACATGGTAAAATTAGCAACATCTACGAAGGGTCTAACCAAAGTCACACACGCAACGAGAGTTGGGGCGAAGTGCAGGAGCTCAAAAGCAAAAAATTTTAAAAAATTTGAAAGCGGAAATTTATTGAGAGTGTCATATTATATACATACATATATATTTGTATACATAAAAATTAATAAAAAATATAATTAAAAATTATACTTATACGCAAATATATATAAATTATTTAAAAACCTTTCTTGTTAAAAAAAGTCAAAAAGCTCTTAAGGCATTATTAGGCGTGAGAACTGATGCACGTGAACCATCCTGAGTTAGAAAGCTTCTTGATGATGTGAGTACAAAAAAGTAATCAAAATTTTTTTTTTTCAATTTTGATTGGCCCAAGGTTAGGTTTTTGGGCTTTTTACATTGAGTAATATTTTAAATATTTAGTTCACAAAATTAGTTTTTGAATTTGTGAATCTAGTGGTTTGGGAGCATGAATAATTAACGCTGTGAACGATAGAATGTGAGATATAATACGTGAATCATATGACTAAGGATCCAACTCCTCTGTTGTTGGGAGGTAACAACACAAAGTGCTGTTAAATTATTCAATGATGTTTTGCCCATAAAACTTAAACGAAGCACATATAAGCATCCCCTAAACGGCACAATGTTGTGGTACTAAGCATCTCCCCTAAAATTAGACCTTTATTCTTCATTTCTTCCCCACGAAATTACTGTACTTCTATCTCTCCGAAACTTTGTGAACCCCATATTCATACTTGCCAAGTTACTGTGCTTGTTTCTCCGCCCAAACATTGTCGTGGTGGTGTAAGTAGCAATTGTTAATATGTATCTATCTACACACACGAGTCAATTTGTTTGAACATTGCCTCTCTCGAAATGAGAGCTTCTCTGAGATTTCATTCTCATCTGTCCTTTTTCTACATGCAACCCCAAACCCTTGAGTATTCCAAAGCAGTGAGAACCATTGGAGATAACGAGGAAGATCGCTTCGTCTCCTACTCACCATTTACTTCTCATTGCCTGGTTTGCACTTTTTTCTGCTGCTTCCATCCCCTTTTTCCCTTGTGTCCTTTAGTTTTTCAAAGCAGTGTGAGCCATTGGAAAAACCCAGCAAGGGTAAACGTCTTGACGAATACCCACAACCTTACTCCCTCCCTCCCATCTCATTCCCCCATCCCTCTCTCATCCTCACCTCGTTTTACGCTTTCTCTATATCCTATGCTATTCTTTCCACCTTTCTCTAGACTTTTCTTCTTGGTGAATACTCAAACCCCTTTCCCCGGCTATTTCTTTCAGTCTGGCTTTCGATTTAAGCTAAGCCATGTTTTCTATGACCCATTGATCCACTACATATACACCTAAACTTGATATATTATTGATTCGTCTCTTATAAACCAAAATCCCCGAAACCCCTCACTTTGTTATTTCTCCATAGTCATTTGTTTTGTTTTCCGTTCATATTATGTAAACTCCACATTTTTATCTTTATATATGTATATAGTATATATAGCAAGTAATTATTTTTTTTGAAATGTTAATAGGGTAAAATTTGAGTAAATAGTAGTTAAAACTTAGTTTTAGCTTGTAAATGTATGAAATCTTTTGTAATAGAATTTGTATTAACTATGTTTGTTATATAAATGTATGTTGTATAAGTTTAAGTTTGAGTTGGTTTTGAATGGTTGTGGAACAGATTAGAATGGGTTGTAAATAAAGAAGAAAGGATTTGTAGAAAAATAGGCAAAACCTTCTAGAAAATCGATGAAAATCTTCCGGAAGATTAATGTAAATTTTTATCCAGCAGGCAAAACCTTCCGGAAGGTTTATGTAAATGTTTGTCCAGTAGACAAACCTTCCGGAAGGTTTTTCAAAAATCTAAATTTTTAAGTCGCGAACAGCTGGCCTTCCTTTCACTATAAATACTTAAGGACAACTCCTTTAGTCTCATTTCTAACCCTAGGAAACCTTAGAGAGAAAAAAAGAGAGGGAAAAACACAAAATCAAAGGGATTTTGCACATTGAATTGAATCAAAGCCCTAATTTTTCAAGAACACCAAGGTAGGGGTTTCTCCTAATCTCTTACATTGAGGCTAGGGCTTACATATATGTATCCTTTTGACTCTAAATTTTTGTATATATTCTATGAAATACTTGTTTCTTGAAATTCATACAATATCACCATGTTTAGAAGGTAATTATGGTTTGATAGCCATGAAAACCCTAATTTTTTGAGAATAATGGATTTTTCTTCTTAATGTTCAATTGTCCTTGATTTCAAAACTCTAGTGCTTTGTATTAAACAACAAATTGTATTTGTGATGATCTCTTGCTTATTTTCTTAAATTGTGCTCTTGTAATGCCAATTTGTGGAAATTTGAGAATTTTGAATTTTCTTGTGATTTGAGAAAAATGTATGTTATGACATCTCTTGTATGGTTGTTGTGATGGACTTGAATTGCATTCGAGCACTGCCGTAGAGTGTTAGAGGTTAGTCTATCCTAGTGGGGGTAAGATGATTTCCTAACACTTATAGTGGTTTGTTATTTGTGAGAGCAATCACTATTGTTCACGGAAGTTCGAGGCTGAGGGATGGTATACCTTTCTTGGGAAGGAGTTGTCAATGTCGGGGTGTAGATTCATGGAAATCAGCCAACATACATGAGAATATGGGATAATGCTATTGAATGATTTGTTAATTTCTATCACTCCGACATGTTTATTCCTTTCATTTAAATTATTGCGATTGTGCACACTTAAAATCAAATAAATTGTCACTTTTTTATTTCAAGTTATATATGCTATTTTGAAAAATGAGACCGAACAATTTTATATATTTTGTAAACCTTGTTCGAAAATGGGAGAATGTTGCTACAAAACTTAGTGCTCACCCCCTACAAACTATATATTTTTCAGATTGTGGTCTAGAGAAGGAGCTTGGAGTTGAGGAGCTGATACATTGGGAAGTTCCACTAGACAGGCTCGTGGATCCTGAGGTGGATGTCTAGGGTTATTCTATCCTAGGTGCTAGACTAGGAAATTTCTTTTGAGATTATGTAAAGACTAATCTTTTGTTATTTCGCTGCAAGTTTAAATGTGATTCTTTTGGAATGTAATTGTCATAGTTGATCATATTCTTTTGGGATATGATAGCCATGTTTTGGCATATTCTTTTGGGAATGATGATGTAAATATTACATTTAATGAATGAAATTTCTTTATTGATGAATTTTATTAGTTGCTCTCATGATGTGAATATATTTAAATTGAAATATCGTCCAAGGTGGATTTTGGAGCGTTACAAATCTTGGTATCAGAGCCTATGGATTACCACTAGAGAAGTAGGATTAGGCTGAATGAAATTGTTAATCTAAAATTTTATACAAACCTTACGTCTTAGATTAAAAATTATAGTTAGGATTTCTTGTACATCAATGAAACTAAATTGTGAATTGATGTGCAAGATGGACGGTGTACATGGGCGTGGTTGTGGCAGTCAAGCAAACCCACCACCACCACCACCACCTCCCGATGCCATGAACGACATATACCAATGTTTAAGAGAG